AGATAAATGGCAGCATGGCTGGTGTTTACTTTTGCTGCCCACTGTTTTATTCGGCGGCGAAATGCAGAAACAGCAGCAACACTTGAAACAACCAGCAACATCATCAGCGGCAACCAGCAACAATCGCATCATCAAGCGATGCCGTTGTTGCTGCTATTGAACTTTTGCTATTTGGCCAAGATTCCCACACACCTGCTGCAGCATCGAGATGTTGTTGCTGGCGTTGGTGTTGCAGCTGTGGCTCTTGCTGTTGCTGCTGCTGCCACCCACTTGCAGCGTGTGAAACGTTGAACAACTTTTTGTCCAAGGCGTGACACAAAACTTTGTTTCAAGTACGTTTGCTGTACGTTCGGCCCTAAGGCAAAATGATGGGTGCCGCAAAAAAACAAAAACCAAAAACAAAAACAAAATAATAATAAAAGCAGAGGGAGTTGCAAAAGGGGTAAATGACCGCTGATGGCGGTAAAAATTGAATTGTTTTGCATAAATTGATGTTTCACCGTTGCCAGTTTTCAGTTTCGGTTGCAATTGTGTCTGTTTGGATTCGAGGGTGTTGGTTTTAATTGAAGTGCCGAGCTGCTCGGTTCCTACTCTATGCTACTGCACTGTCACAAAAAGGAGTCACTTAGAGTGTCACTTAATATTAAAATAACTACAAAAATAACTTATATTTTAATTTCTTATATCTACTAAAATATAGAGATAAAAAACTATCTGTAAAATCTATCATTGAGACAAATTAAGAAGTTATAACAAACCAAAAGTTAAGATTTCTTTGAATAAATAACTTTTTTTAATCTACATCACAGAGTCTCTGATTTCTTTATATAGTTTATTATTTTTAAAAATTATTATTTCCATAAATATTCATTACATACTTTTTTCCCGTGCAGCTGTATTTGATTTCCTAATAATAATGAATCTCTAACCAACTGAAAAGAGCCCACAATATTTCCCATTTGACTTTGTTTATTTACCTAATGAATATGACAAAATTAAGCTGACAATGGGAAGTTGATACGTTTGTATTGTAGTGATTTTTTCCCGGTGTACCCCTCTGCCCAAACCCTTGCTGGCCAAGTTGCCCACGCGAAACAGCTGCCCAAACTCAATGAAGGCGAAGGAGATTCAGATGTAGTAGATGGTGGCGAGGGGTAGGAGATGAGAGATTGGAGATGGAGCCACAGCTGGCGGCCCAGCTGCCACTTCTGGGTATTTTTTAGTGGGCGCAGGAGAGGATTGGCGGTGGAACAAACTGGATTGGATGGGCGCGGCTTGGCTAAAGCCATCTGCAGATCATCATCTTCTTGCCACAGCGAAAGTCGCAACGAAATCTAGTCGGGTAATTCTAGAGCGGCACAGGGCAATGGCCAGTTATACCCATTGCTACCCTGGATCTCTGGGGAATTTAACTCTAAACACCTTCGTGATACTTCCTTACTTTTGGAATAAAATTATTATAATTTCCATGCTAAGAATCTCTTCTTTTGTCTTTCTCAAATTAGAATAAATATTTTAACCATTATTACAAAATCGTTGGCTGCTTTATAAAGAATTTATGCAAATCACTGTGTTGCGCTTGCAACCAGGAAAAATATTTGAATGCAACGGCATAACAATTATGCCCTAATTACCCTAGAAAAACAACAACTAAGCAAACGTTTACTTTTCGCTAATTTAGCAATGGCTGCTAGTGGGTTAAGTTGGCTAGCTAAAAGGCTTATCCTATTCCACAAATGCCAGTCTTTGTAGACCTGGTAGACTTTGTAGAAAACCCAACCAGTCCGAGAGTCGCCGCCAAATGTCCGTCCTTCTGTCTGTCCGCCAGGTCCGCCTGGCAAAAATGCCATCTGAGGCTAACTGGGCGGCGAGGCGAACTGGTTGCCCAGGCTGTTTGGTGCACAGAAAACATTTTCAATCGATATATTAAATTTGATAATATTAAATTTAGTTTAACGAGTAAAAACTATACTAAGTATAAATGAGTTTTAAAATCAGTCTGAAGTTCATTTAGATTATCGCAAGGTTAATAGGTATCCTTCATCGTTTTTGGTATATATTTCTTTGATATGAAAATGATGACAGATTAAAGTAATGATTCAAAATCAAAGTATTTCAATCCAAAAAATGGACATTTTCCATCAGCTTCATAAGGATTTTCTCCATGTGTGGTGCAGCTGGTGGTGTGCGGTGGCTTGAATTACAAAAGGAGCTGAGCCGAGCCGGGTTTCAAGTTAGCCTGGGCAGCCAAAGGCAGCCGGGGCAACTGTTTTTACCTCTTTGCTTTTTATTATAATTTCAATTTTGTGTATCTATGAGATACGCGCAACGTGAATTGGCATTTTCCATTTGGCAATTTGCATGTGCAATGCAATGCAATGCAATGCAATGCCTTGCAATGCGGGTCCCGAGATCCAAGATCCAAGATCCAAAGAGATCCCTGCCAAACAGTCCGGGTAATTAAAGCACCATTAACGCCCCATCATCATGGGAATCGTGTGGCATGGCTTGTCTTGACTTGCCTGCCTTGCAAATGCTGATGATGTGGATGATGATGGGTATTCACGATGACTATGACGATGACGAGGTGGCCAGGAAATGCAATTAACCGATTGGCCCACAAGCCGTGCTCATTCGAAAGTCGCCGTTTTGTGGGACTCTCTGTTTGTTGTTTGTTGTATGTTGTCCGAGTGTCCAAAGTGTGCCTGTTATTGTTATTGCTATTGCATTGCTGGTGTTTTTTTTTTTTTAATCCACCGCAGGCCCATTGGCCAGGTGCTCACCAGGTGAGTGCCAGTCTGCGGCTCGAGTGTCCAAATTGCTGGCGGGGATTGCATAAGCGGCCCAGCCAAGATGCAATGATCAATCAGTCGGCCCAATCAGTAAGCCAGTCCATCAATCATAACGAGGCCCTCACTCAATCGTTCAAGGAAACCGCTGCGTAAACGATTCTACGGGCGGTCTTCAAGATTCTCGTTTATCAGCCGCCAGGCTCTAAGTCTCTTGGCTTATATATTCTATTGACCAAAGTTTTTCAATCTCCTATAGCTTGAGTACAGTTTTCACTACCATTGGCCATGTTCGATTTTCAAATTAAGTTGAAAGGCAGTTAAGTTAGTTAACAGGATAAAGTTTGGTAGATTTTCTTCTGATTAAAGACCAATGAGAAGCGATATCCCTCTCATTAAAAAAGATTGATAACATACCTAAGAAGACTTAATGATACAAACTGGTAAATATATATTTCTTCGGTTATTATTTTGGACTACAAGACAGATTCGTGACTGATTCCGTCAGCAAGAACTTTCTTATTTTCATTACTCCAGATCTTTTCAGTGAACTTCAAAGTATTTAGAGCAAATCGAACACGAAGATACAGATACAGCAGCAATAATAGCAAGATCGTAAGGTAACAATAACTAACAGTTGAAGGCCGGACGACAATTAACGCATTATTTATTAATATCTGAAAATTGTGTCGCCCGTTAAGCGGTTTACAGATGACGGCTACCAAGACAACAAGTCTAACAATAACAGCAAAGCCATGGCATCAAATTACATGTCCAAAAGTTAACACAAATTGTTAAGAAGAGTACGCAGAATAAACGGGGGGTAAATGGCAAAATATTCATTTGATAATAATCAATTAAAAAGATCTTAGTTAATATGAAAAAATCACTATCTTCCTTAAGGTATCTACAACCTTTTAGCACTTTGACATTCTTAAGAACTTTTTGTTCCTAAAACGGTTCATAACATATTTTCTCGGTGTACTCCGTGGTGGTGCAATTTTCTTAGTTTATTTATTATTATTTTTTTACCTCATTTGCGGTGCGGGCGTCCCAAGAAGAAGAAAACAAAGCGGCTGAAGAATTCTCCACACGAAACCTGGCAATTAGAGCGCGGCAGCAATAACAACACTCGCACACGCTCGCAGAATTCTTGCTGAATCTCGAATCTCGAAATCGCAAAAAAACAAATAAAGTAAAAAAAAAAACCAGCGAAAAAACAAAGAGTCGCGCTGCACTTTACACTTTTGTGGCTTGAAGCGCTCAGGTGAGACAGGTGCAGCGTTTTGTTTGCCCGCGAGCACTTTCAGCACTTTCAGCTGGCCCCAAAATCGAAATAACACACTCCAAAAAAAAAAACAACCAAAATGCAAAAGCACGCGCGTTTCAAAATATATATGCTTTCAGGCCGGCAACTAATGCAGTTTCCTTGTTCTTTCGAGAAATATCAAGACGAAATATAGAACTTATTTAGTCTGAGGACGGTTAAGTTTTCCGCACTGACGACGTGAAGCTCGCGAAAGGCGACGACAAATTGAAGCGGCAAATAAATTGGAGCCGTCGTCAAAGTGACCGCGCAGCTGGGGAAGCGAAAGATACCAAAAAAAGGTTTAACAAAACCAGTTTTCCAGACGGCTAACGCTTTTTCACCGAGGCTGCCAGACGTTCGAATCGGTTACCAGTATTTCAAAGTTCACCATTTGGTGAGCTTTCTTGTGACTTCTTTTATTATGGAATTAAAAAGTCAAGTAAAGGAAAAGGAAAATGTTAAATAAATTATCAGTGCTGCTAATTAAAATCTCTTCAAACTATAAAAGAAGACGATTTGCTTTTAAATTTTCGCACTAACTATTCATGATCACCATTGCGACAAAAATCTGGCAACGCTGCTTATACCGTTATCACCAAAAGCTACAGTGTGACCATCACAATTACTAATGAAAATTTTTCGAAGTTTTAAATTAAAAGGCACACACAAATCGGATTGTTTAGTAAAGTTGCGAAAGCGTTGTGGAATCGTTTATTCTCATTCATGTTACAAATGCACTCTTGGAGAGTTTTAGTACTAGCCTAGCGCGATCGCGATCTTTTCTTCTTCTTACACATTCTGCGGGCCTCTGCAACTGCACTCTTCGCACTTACACTTACAAGTCAATATAAAGATATAGATTGAGAGAGAGAGTTGAGATGGGCAAGTAAATAACACAAGTACATGGTTCTCTATATATTATATATATATATATACTGTATACGACGAAGCGAAAATAAATGTATATGTGTATATATTTATATTTATAGTATATGTATAGATTTGTAGCGCTGTTGCTAATAGTTTTCACATATAAAAATGTTTCTTTTGTTAGACATTTACAACATTTATACCCAAGTGGTAACTATAATACATATAAGTACATTTATGTATATCAATATATAACTCTTTAGATCTTTAAATAGGCATATATGTAACTGTACGTAGCTGTTTGTATATGTAGGTATCGGTATCGGTATCATTATCATTATAGGTATTAGCTATTAGCTGGGCGCGGGACAAATCAATGGTGGGTCAGATTCAGAAAGATCATAATCTTTTCATATGATATTCCTGATCTGATCCCTGATATTATGTGGTATATGTATATATGTTGGGTGTTTTGGCGTGAAAATATAGGCTAGTAAGCTTTGATTTGATAGTGCAGCAAGGTGGCTAGAATTTGTTTGGTTATGTTGCATCGATATTTTTCATATTTTTTTTCTCTTAGGTACGCACACTGGTACAAAAGTATGCAAGTATTTTTTAAAGGCAGCGCGGGACTACTTGGACACACATATGTTTTTCTTTTAGTATAGGCTCTATGTGTATGCTTGTGTGATCTAATCGTTAATGGTGGTAATCGTGGATTAATGGGCGGCACTGATTTTGTGTTAGTTAACATTCGCTATAAGTTTACATAGGTTACACTCTTAATAAATATATTTATATTTATATTTATATATATATATATATATAATTTACTGATTTTTAGGGCGGGGCAGGTGCTCGCTGATACATCTTTACAATATTAGAAGTCGAAAAGTGCTGGGAGTGGGGCGTGTGGTTTTGGGGTGGAGCTAGAGGAGAGAAGGGGACGCTTAGTGGGGCCGGTGCGGGACTAAGTGTGAGAAAGTCTTGACTAAATTTAATGTACAGGACTACGTTGTCTACGCTTCTTCGTCATCTTCATCCTCTAATCGCAAGTTGATATCCTATATAACTGATATCCTTGCAATGCTTCGACGTTGTTGTACTTTCGATAGTTTTGCTTTTTGTGCTGGCATGTTGAGCTTTTACTTTGAAATGGTTTGCCTGCTGTGCTGGGGACTGCGGGCGAGAGGGACAGATGGAGAGTCTGCGATTGGTGTGGCCAACGTTGCATGTAAGGCTTTTAAACCATTTTTTAAGTTATTTTAAGATAGAAAATCGATTAGTGACAAAACTTTTTGTGAAAAACCTGCTTAATATTTGTTCTTCATTGATTCATTATGAATATTAATAGATCATGAAGATAATACTGATAGTGAGATTTCAATTAAAACAATCTTAAGAGGCATACTGCTTGCTTAAAGAAATCCATTTAGGCAACATTAACATACAGATTTGGTTAAAAAGAACTACAAAGTCTACCTTTTCACATTTCTAAGATTCAGCAACGCCTGTTAATACATGTGTGATATATAGTTGGCCGCACTAAAGCATTAACTCTCCATTGACAGACAGAGACAGATTTAGAGAGTGAGACAGAGAGAGCATGAGATGCAGACGTAGCTGTAAATTAGCCATTCGGGAGCGGGAGGAGGAGGAGGAGGAGAGTTATGGAGGACTTCTGGAAGGAGGAGGAAGGATCCTTTGGTAGGGGCAGGGGCTGCGCCTACAGATCAAAATAAAACTCAACAAGCATGGCCTAAAACTGGTTGACCTTCAGCTCGTTGCCCTGCAGCTGGACGAGGCGGAAGGCCTCGCGAATAGTTGGGGTCATCAGGAGCTTAAGGTTCTCCTCGGCCTCGCCGGGCAGGGAACGTAGTAGCTCCATTGATGCCACTACCAGCTGGGCGAGAGCAGCTCTCTTGTAATTGGAATCCTTGAGGATGCTGCTGGCTCGCTGCTGTTCAATTTCCGGTGAGATGGACTCCGCTTCCGAGGACTTGGCTTGTCGATTGGTATCGAACGGATTACTGCGGCATTTCGGCTGGAATTCACTTATCAACGTGGTCATTGTCACGTTCTCTTCCTCCTGCAGCTGGACGCACTTGCTGGGCGATGTGCTGCTACCGGAACCCGAACCGGATCCCGTATCCGTCATTTCAGCATCTCCATTACCGTTCAGAGATATGCACATGGGTTTGCTTTGCGGGTGGTGATGCAGCTGCGGTGGCTTCTGGCGCAGCTTACCCGAGCCGCTTTCGATCTCATGAAGGGCAGAGTTACTCAAGTATAGTTCACATACCAGATTCCATGCATCCTGCAGGCAGAATAAATACCGCACGAAGTTCTCCTTCTTCTTCACCGTAGTTGTATTCAGTCGTGAGCACGACTCAAGGATAAAGTTGAGATCCTCCGGCCCCAGATTGTACACGACAATGTCGTTGAGATGGGAGTCCACCAGTGCTATATAGTAGATCATCCACGAGGAGGTCATCTGTTTGTACAGATTTGCCGCGTACTCAATATTCGACACCTTCTGCATGAGGAACTTGAGGCCGGGTCGGGAATCGAACTCCAGGGCGGACATCAGGTACTGCTTAACGCATCGCAGCAGAATCTCCTTGGAGCGAAAATCCAGGTCATAGTCGTGACTGGGCGAAGCTGCAGAAGCGGCATAGTTGTCGAAAATGCATGTGGAAACAGCCTGGGGAACACACTTTAAACGCGACAGCAAAAGCTTGGCCACCAGCTGGAGCAGCATCTGGTTGGCCAGTAGACCCACCACGAGGTTCTTAAATGGTATCCGGATTACGAAGTTATCCAGATTCGAGTTGAAGCCATTGTTTAGCGGGTATAAAAGGAATGAATAGCTCCTGTCGTCGGACAACTTGCATTGCGAGGCACTGGGCGTGGTAGCCTGATTTTGACCCGGTTCCCGCTGATTGTCCGAGAGGAAGACTTGCTGCGCCAGAGCATAGATTCTAGCCAACTCCTCCAGGCTGCTGTCCCGCCGGGCAGCCACCTTAACATTAGCGCAATCTCCATAAAAACTATTGGATTTTTCGTGGAAAGCAAACGAAAGCTGTCGCAGTGGGGCAATCGTTACTGTGCAGGCGCGATGGATTGCTGAGCAGGCGATCATCCACTGGGATTCGTTAAACAGCATGCCTGTGGAGAGGATCACGTGTTTGAGGCAGGACACCGAGATCCTAGCAATCGCCTCCTGCGACTGAGCAGCACATTCGATTAGAACCAGTAGTAACTGTTTCAAGGCCAGCGTGGCCGAACCCGAGATTTTGGTGGGCGATTCTATAAGGTTCGATCCGCCTCCTACTCCGTTCTTCTGCTGCTCCTCGCTTGCTGAGCTGGAACTGCTGTCGTACTGCTGATTATAGCCACATCCTTGATCCTGGACAGGAGGCGATTGCTGTTGCTGTTCCCTTTCAATCCTTTCCGTTACAAACTTCAGCTTGGAGTACAGTAGGTTGTCTGCCGGGTGAACTATTTGTGCCAATCGCGTTTTTGTTCCTGCTCCCAGACGCCGCTGCTCTGGCACTGACTTCTCGATAAACTCCACCACCAGATCCGTGGTCATGCAGCAGCAGTGCTTGAAATTCTTCTCCACCAGCTGCCAAGAGGAGCCCGTCTTGTTGATGTACCGTAGCCAGTCTTGTATCATCGGCACCAGCAGGTGATTGATGCAATAGAAACCGAAATCGATGCCTGGACTGGCCAGAAGGTTCTTGAACAGCTTAAAGATCGTCTGAAGGATGGGCGCCTGGTGGGAATAGGGGCAGACGATCAGCGAGTTAGTTAGTCCATCGAGCAGCAGGAACCACACTTTGAGCACACCCGACGGCTTGTCCATCTCGTCAATCTTGACAATGGTGTCCTTATCGATATGCAGCGATCGGTAGGAGATCATGTACTGCTCATTCCGCGTCTGCAAGTAGTCGTTGCCGAAGTACGTGAAGTTCTCCATCGAACTGGGTATGTTCGCGTCGATTATGTGTGTGTAGGAAATGCCCTTGATCTTGTACGTAGAATGAAAGTTGGGGCACTTGGGCATACTGTGCATAAAACCCAATATGCTGGAGCAGCGCTCTAGGAAGCGGAGAGTTTCGTGGAGGAAGTCCGTAGGCCGGAAGGTGTTGTCCTCCTCTTGTTGGCCACCATTTGATCCAGTTCCTCCCGCTGCAGTTCCACTTCCACCATTACAGGCATTATTATTTCCTCCACCAGAGATCTCCAGGTAGGACAGCAAGCACAGGATACAGTCCAATCCCGCGTTGGCAAACACTAGCGTGTTGTCTGAGTCAAGGAACACCCGAAATATGTCAATGATGTTGCTCATGTTTAGCATCCGGCTACGGGCATTGCGTAGGGTTCCAAACAAAGGTCGCCATCCGGAACGGATCTCGGTTCGGTGCGCCTCCACCACTTCGTACAGACAGGCCACTATCTGATCCTGCACATCTACATCCGTGTCCATGCTTAGCAAATTCTCAAACGGCTTAAGCAAGGCTTCGTTAAAGTGAAAGTACGGCAGCTCCGACTGCTCCACCAAAAGAGCCGTGATGATGTCGTGGATGTACTCGATCGCCCGCTTCGAGATCATTCGATCGCGGTGGCAAGCAGCCTTAAAGTTGAAAATATTTCGAATAAGGAACGATAGTAATCGTTGAGAGAAAAAAAAATAAAAAAAATGAAGATGATGGAACGATAGTAATCGTTATGAAAGACACAAAAAAATAAAAAAAAATGGAGATGATAAACTTAAAAAATATATATAAGCCCCCTATTTTTTTCTTAAAAAATAATAGATTAAAAATAAACTATAATTATACAAACATAAATTTGGTAAAACACAAAAATTAAAGTGACAAGGTTGTACTCACATCCATTAGATGCGGACCTGTTATGGCCCAGACCTTGAGCACGTGCAGCAGCGGACGCGAGCTGCGAAATACCTTGAGCGTGACATCTCCAATCCTATGAAGGAGCAGGGACATGGGCAACGAATCCAGCTTCTTCCAGCCCTTGCTGGGCCACCAGATGCGACTGCCTTTGCGGGCAACCTGGCTTTTATATAGCTGCTCTCTCGAGGCGCGACACAGATGCTTAAGGAACTGGCACAGCGAGGGCAAACTTAGCCTTTCGGCTGCGTCTCCGAAAAGATTTTCCGCCTGATGAGACAATGCACAGAGTACCTTAGAAGTGTCGCTTTGACTTAGTAGCACCGTCTCATTCGTTCCAGAGTAGACCTTTAAAATGGAGGTGATGTTTGTATTAGGACTCTGCATAGGTGCCTGCAGGAAGCTGTACACATCCACACTGAAAGGAAGAAAAAATCAGCCTTTTTATTTATGAAAAAGATAACAAAATGAAGCCCATACCAGGTCTCGTCATCATCGATGGGTATGGAGGACAGGTTTAGCTTGTCCTGGGCATTGCCGTTGCTCAACTTCTCGCCCGTCTCTAAGTCGCGGCGACTGCTTCCCGGCGAGGCGGAAATGGCCGGGTTCTGCATGCTAAAGATCTCGTGCTCCAGCTGGCTGACATGCCGACAAACGGCGAAGATGCTCGGCCAGCAATCCGCACTATAACTGCCAAGGTTAAGTCCCCCGGTTAGTACTACGTCCATGGACATGGCCTGACTGGCGGAAATTCGCGGCCCGGATGTCTGGCAGACATTTGAAGCTAGCAGGTTCAGTATCTTACCAGCCAAATGCTGCAGATTTAAACTATTGCTGAGCGTGGCGGCCTAACAAAAATAATATATTATTAAAAAATTCCTAAGGATTACTATAAACTTCTCACCGAATGCAAGCCATCCAGGCACATGGCATACAGGGCCTCACCATTCGATTTATTTGCTTTGGCCTTCACTCTTAGGGTTCGCTTGGAGAGAGCCACCAGTTTGTTGGAGGCCGAACTGGTCTGCAAATCTCCTAAACCAGAACTCAGCACGATGACCATCGAATCCCAGCAACAGGTGAGCAAGCGGCGGCACAGCTTCTTGGCCGCTTCCCTGCGCTTGTCATGGAGCTGTTCTTCCTCCTTGTGCTTCACATTGGCTGTCTGCAGGCGCTGCCACTCAGATAGCATTTGGGTGGCACCTAGTCCACCGGCGTCGCACAGCATGTCGATAAGAGCACAGCGCGGACCCATCCCTTCCAGTTGCTGACGAGGCATGGCCTCCAGGACATTGCACACGGTTACCGATTGATAGAGCTCGCATAGCCAAGGCGAGGACAGATAGACGAGGACTCCAGTATTCTGAACAGAGGTCACAAACTGTTGCTCGGACATCGGCACCAGGATATCCTTGTGCGAAACGCCCTGGGCCACCTGTTCGTAGTATCCGGCTCGCATCAGCTGCAGGCTAAGCAGCAGAGAGGAGTAGATAGCTAGGTAAATCCCGTCCGCATTGATGGCGGTCAGGTTGTAGTCAAAGTCCGAGAAGTTCATGCTGTTCTCCTGACAAACGGCTGAGGCGAATTCTTGCATCGCTTCGTCCAGCTCCACGCAGCTACGCAGCCGCAAGAGTTTCGGTACTAAATCCTGCCTTAAAGCTCGGGCAAAATCCCGGGCATGTTGCCGGTCATTATCGCTATCGGTTCGAATGGGCATTACGGGCGCCTCAAGATGTGAGTATGGCCAGCGGTTCTCCACCCGAGATGTTTCATCGCTGGAGCTGCTAGGGTCATCGTCTTCAGGGCCTTCGGTGTCCCCGGAACCATTGGAAGCTGCATCTTGCTCGTGCGGCGGCTCACCTTCACTTTCTGATCCCGAAGAAGTCTCAAAAACATTCTGACGGAACTCCACGATGGCATCACGATAAGGAGCCGGCAGACGGGCCATGCTTTGGTAGGTCAGCGGGCCGGAGTAGTCCGCATCCTTGAGCAGGTCATGCCGTCCGTTGACTACCTGTACAATCTGGTCACTAATCATTGACTCGGTGAGTTCTCCGCTGCAAAGCACTTGCAGGCTGTCTAGCAGGGCCACCATGCACTCCACGCTCGCTTGCAGACTGGCCTCCGTGGCTGAGCCTACGCCACTGGCTCCATAAGCACATTCCTCCATGGCGTCCACCAAACTAGAGAAACACAATAAATACATCAATACAATACAATAAACATTGAAAATAAAGTAATACATTGTAAATTAATCTTAACTAAAAACTTACAGTCGGAATAACGCCATCTCATCGCTGCAGCCTTGGGCTGTGTTCTTGTCCACATATAAAATAACCGCCAAGTCGATTAGGCGCTCTGGACTCTTGAAGATCTCCCTTACGCATCGTAGTGGCTCTGTTCGATTTTGGGGAGCCGGCAGCAGAAGCATCCGATGGAATAGAGCCTCCAGCATGGGACGCAAAGAACCATGGGCACCGGCAATTCGAAGTAACTGAATGGCGGTCAAATAGACACAACGGGCCTGAGGACCATCCAAGCCCGGACCCGTGAAGAAGCCACGGGCCTCATTCTCTATCATGTGCAGGGCATCCCTAAAATAAATATTCTTAATAACGTTAAAATTCGAAAGATCTTTTTTCGTTTACTTGTAGGTGAATTTCTTGTCCAGATTGATCCTGCCGGGTGATCCTAGGGCCGCAGCCAATGTGGGACAAAACTTCTGCCAGAGAAACGATGTAAAGTGCGGATTCGCATGAACATTCCGGGGCAGGGCGGAGCTCAACGTAAGGATGCATTCGGTGAGGTACAACGAGCTGTGATTCTCGCATTTTTTGTTCGGCGAAGCATTCACATTGGGCTCCACCAGTCGGCTGCAGAGCCACTGCATCACCGGAATGACCTCGTTGTAGACGGCAGATGCTTGCGTCTGGGTCATTAGGCCAGCGGGCGCAGTCTTTTTAACTTCCTCGGCCTCCTCGATAAGGAAGGCGCAGAAGGTGCGTAGGCACTGGGAGGCGGCGGCCAAGGATGCAGCCTTAGTTGCACGCGAGCCCATCTCCCAGCACTCACCACATCTGGAGAGGATCTCGATAAGCAGGCGGCCGTTCAACGTGCAGGCGGGTGAACAGGCCATTGCCAGGAAGAGCCGAAGCACATTGACCACAGTGTCCTCGCTGCTCGTCGATGGCAGGATGCCATTGGTGGCCCTCAGCAGCTGCGATGGCAGCCACACGGAATCATCCTCCGGCTCAAGGCCGATATAGAAGCGCTCGTCCTTGATGACGCGCTATTGGGATAATAAAACAGGATTAAAAGGATTAGCAAAGGGTGGTAGATAAAAAACGATAATAGAAAAGAAGCAGATGAAAAAAGGAAGTTTAAATAAAATAAATGAACAAAGTGAAAGGATTATATGGGTGATAAAAAAAATAATAAAAAGGGATTAAAGGATTAATTAACCAAAATTAAAGTATGCGAAATGGTCAAAAGAAGATAAAGGATTACGAATAGAGAAAGAAAAATTTCATAAAAGTATGTAACTAAAATTAAAGGTCTTGTTAAGCAACTTGAAAATCAAATATATAATTTAAGCATGAGATGAAGGCAATTTTCTAAAAATACCCAAAGCAAAGGGCAAACAGCAAAGTGCAGGAGCAAGTCCGGAATTATTGATTACCATATTGTTAACCAGTCATAAACAAAAGTCACATCCGACCCCCTAGAATTCCCAGCAAATTAGCCTATTCCGCCCATTGCCCACAAATGCCCCAATGTCCCACATATGCCGTATGCCATATGCCATATGCCATCTCCCATGTTCCATATCCCATTTCCCATGTCCTTTGTCCAGTGTGTGCACAAGGAATGATAAATCCGCTTTGTGCGCCGGAAGTTCCGGCCGGAAAATGTGTGTCAGTCGTTGTTATGGCCATTGTTAGCCCCCATTTACCATTACCGCTCCCCCTCCCGATAATCGTCGTTTCCGGACGGTGCACTTACATGGAGGCCGTTGAGTCCCATCGTGATGAACTTGGGCCGCTTCGTATCCAGAGCCATCTGCAGGGCGGTAAAACAAACGGAGCGCAGCTCGTGCGACGGGTCCCGGTGGATTCCATGCTGTCGGTAGAGTTTATCTGCAGGGAGAATAAAATTTGGCCAATAATTAGGAGTTTTTCTTAGTAATATCATCGTATCTTATTATGTAAATAGCTCTACTTTTGATAATATTTATTATCTTGATTTTATTTGACGACATGAAATGAGTTTTTGTATGCCGTCTTTATCGTCCGCAAATGGTATTGTATTTATTTGCAGCGCATTTTTCTTGATAATTTACGTATTACATTGTCATTTTTATGTTTTTCTCTTTGTGTGCGAAAAGTTACAACCGGAATTAGTGGTAAGTCGTTGCGATTAACGGTTATCGCCATGGGCACATAAGTATGTATGTATGTAACTAATGCAGGCAGTAAAATCTCTTCTGATAAGCGGACGGAAATGGTATGGGGGATTCCCATGCTCATCCGCCGGCAAATCGTTGCCTGCTTTCCTGCAATGTTGAACGGGGAAACACCCACAAATGGTTGCCTACTTTTCTGCAACGCCAACGCACAAGAACACAAAGCCAGAAAATCAAAAGAAAGCACAGAAATGTGTTCGTATTATTGAAGGTTTTTGGTTACTCTCGACTTTGCCCTCAAAATGATATTATGTTTACTTTAACTTAGTCAATAATGGTTCAAATATGGAATGCCGTACCTCATTAAAATTGTAGTTTAATTCGTAGTATTTCTGCATTCATAGTTGAAAATGTATTTTTTTTTTACCTTTTTCTCACAATTTGATTAAGTTACCACTTATCGAAAATGCTAATTTAGGGTTCTCCTCATTTCCCTCCTAAAATGGCAGTAAAACCAATAATGGTTCGAATAAATAAAGTCATACCTCGTTGTAATCGTTATTAAATGCCCATGAATACTGTATTCACAGGTAAAAATCTTAATTTTTGGCCATTTTTAGCTGAATTTGTAGATGCTACTTAAACATTATCGAAAATTCTAAATTCTGTTTATACCAAATTTCAGCCCATAATAAAAGTCTTATGTTATGGATAGTTAGTAATTATTTCAGATGTGCGTCTTGTTTTGACAAAGTAATGATCAAAGAAATATTAATATATATTAAGTCAAACATATGCAGAAACCAAAATACTTCACACGATAAAGTCGAAGGGCATTGCACAAAGGAAGTAACGGTAAACAACAAACAGTGGGCCAGGCCCAGCAACAAAGAAGAGGGAGAACGAGTAAGGAAATGGCACTGTTCTTATTCGCCATCTCACTCTTTCTCACTTTCACTGTTCTAACAATAAATGTAATTCACACATATTGTGAAAAAATGGGAAACTTACCGTAAGCGATTTGCGCCGTTTGACGCAGCGCATTGTGTTTAGTTCCCGTTGACTCCTTGATGACGAGTAGAAAGAGGTCCTCCATATCGCCGCTCTCTTTCTAACACTTCTTCTGCTTGCGTGCGAGTGCTCGTGTGTGTGCGTGTGTACTGGCCAAAAGTTCCTTTGCTGGTGTGAGTGTTTTGTTGTTGCTGCTGCTTCAGGCAGTTTCGTTTGTTGTTGCTTCGCCCTTGCACGCCATCATTGGTAATAACAACAACAACTCAATTAACGCCTAAAAACGGTAGTAAAATCAATACAAACAAAAAATATAATAATTCAGTAATGGTAAAAACGGTTGTTTTGTATACGTATTTTTTATGTTGCCGCCATATGTATTCTCTTACTACACACACACACACACACACACACACATGCCATAGAGCTGCGATGTGTGTGTTTGTATTTGTGAGGTTTTCGCGTCACGTCACTTTTGCACTTTTCAAACTTTTGCACACACATTGCAATTGTGCACCTTCGAAAAGTTCAAACAGTGTGTATCCGTTTTCCTTGAAAAACTTTTTCCTACTTTCACACACTCACACAAACATACATATACAGGCGAACAATGCAGCAGGCATTGCAACGGTACTTTTTTCAATTAAATCCATATGTTAACACATTTTTGCAGGCCGATCAACACTTCTCACTGTGATTACTCATTGGGAATTACCATTTTTATACACGGATATGTCCATAACGCTTGGCAACGGTAAACAGCCACCACTTGTGGTTTTCTCTGCTGTTTTTCTACGGTTTTTCCAAACTTTCTTTTTGCTTTGTTCCGGGCCCAAAATGCGCTGCACTTGCCGTTGGATGCGACAAATGCTGTGTGACGCGTAAGGAAAGCACTTTCTCCATTTACGGCGGAGTGCGCATGGAGTACCGTTAGGCCCAAGTTTGCGCATGTCTGCATAACAGCTGTTCGATTGTACCGTTTATCGGTCAGCTGAAGGTTTAAAAAACCAGGGCGGTAGACTATGGTTCGCAGGATATAGCAATTCGACATAAAACTAAGTAGCAATATATTTATTACCAACTAAATTTAAAAATGCACGTGATTTATAAAAATATGACTGTCACAAAAGCTATTTATTTGAATGTATCAGTATTAACCAGAAAGCAGGCTGTGTTTTCTAACTTAAGTGAAAAATAAAACCAAAATCAACTGATTTGTTTTTTTTTTTAAATTGAGTTCAGCCAATTCAAAACAAAAAACTAAATGTATAACGTTATGTTATAAAGTTATTTAAATAAACCTTCTTTCTTGGTTTCGTATACTCCCAAAAACTTTATAAAAATAAGTACTATTGTCGTTAGACTTTGTGCGTAGCCCTGACAACCTTTAAGCTGCAGGTTTTATTTTGTTGACTTCTCGACAAATCAATAAAAAACCGAAGTTATAGTTCTCCATTCAAGACTTAGATTTGAACTAATATAATGGGCACTGAAAAATCAGTGGACTTTCCATATAATCAGTAAAGTCATACCTGCCCAAATCCGGATTAAAAAGCTCCAATTTAGATCCGTTAACACCATTCACCTGAACCTTTTCCACAGGTGGTTTCCTTTACAAGTTCTCTCTTTATCATTCTCTCTTTGTTTTGTTTTAAATGCCATTAATTATATTTCGCATTGATTTAAATAGTTTAACTGACAGTGTTAAATTAGGAGAGAAAAATAATAAACAGGATTCAGTTTCGTATATCAAAAACCATTCTTTGCTCTCATGACATAGAAGACTAAAAAGTGCAAGTGAAGATTCCTAATTCGCCTACTTCACGGGCTTCGACTTCCACAGGCCGTCGTTCAGGAAGTGATACGTCTCGATGCCGATGCCTTTGTTCTTCGCCAGGCTATAGGGAATAGAATGTGTAATTAATTTTCGAGTTTGCTTATGGGAGTAAGATATAAAGGTAAAGATAAGGTAAGATTCTTTACATATATAATGATAATAATCATAAATAAAATTAAATAATAATTAAAATATTATTAATCATATAAATAGGATGTTTGCATGTGCAACGGACCAATAACCTAAGTTGCCATCTTTCTGAAGGTACAGAAAGTTAAATAAGTAATCAGTACTCACTATAAAACTTATGAAGATGAAAATTACACATAGGGGAAAGATTGTTCAATGTGTAAGTGATAAACAAAAACTTAACCTATAGCTATTTTGAAGTTCAAATGTGTTGAATAGGAAGAACCGCCGAATTACATATATCATCACAGATTTATGAGTCGTAAGTTATTAGAAGCTAAACTATATATATTTATATATATATTTGCGGCACTTACATTTCCTCTGTGGATAGCGTGAGAAGTCCTATGGCCAAAGCGTGTTCCTTGCCCTCGGCCATGATGGCCACCACGGTGCTTTTCTCAGCCGGCGTCATGCAGGCGCCCGGCGACGTCAGGCCTGGACACATAACGTTTGCTCCGCTCAGGACAAAACGAATCGCGCCCTTATCAACCTGCTGCATAGTCACAAAGTAGGGGAACTTGTGCAGGAGCCGCAATGTGGGCATCCAGGGGCCATCGCGATGGCGGAAGAACACCTGTTCGCCGGCTCCGTTCAGCAGGAGTTCGATGTGGTCATGGCTGCAGAAGCGATGGGAAATCAATGGGGTTATATGCATACATATATACTAATACCATCCTACCACTTGGCGATGCGATACGAGTCCTTCTTGGGCAGGATCAAGTCAATGTGGGTCTCCAACTTCGGATATGCTTCCAGCAACTTGGCACGTATGCCTTTCTGGACCGACGACTTCAGCTGTTGGATGCTTGAAATGCTGTCCTTCTCCTCGAATCTGGGCAGATCAAATGAAAATGGTTAGTCTGAACCCGCCTAAAATACCGTGCTATACGTACTTTTTGAACATTTTGCACGATTTCTTAGCCTTTTTTTTTGCAGCTGATGCGAACGAATGAGGCAGTGTGACCAGTCGATCCCGGGAAAGAAAAACCAACTATCGCAAAGAGATGCTGTGTATCGATATATATCAAACTGTAGAAACATTTTCATTGTTATTTATCACAATTAAAATATAATACAACAAATATTTAAAATTTGCCAATAATAAATTTAATCGCCTGTTGCCAAACCGTGCCATAGGCCTTGGAATTACAATTTCAAAAACGATAGCCTGCGTCAAAAATCGATAGGCCAGAAATCGACAGAACGAAAACATTGTTGTATCAACAACATCGTTCAAGTTAAAGTATATATATTTTTGAAAAAATATATTTTTTAAGCGAAATCGCATGACCGGAGATTCCGAAAACTACACCACAAGAAATGAGCCTACCGGAAGAGCTGGGTGAGTGTTAACCAACAGGACACTAATGGTTGTTGATGGCTGATCAATTGGAATCGCATGTGTTTTGCTTCTTACAGAAAAGACGCCTTTGGCGGTTCTCCATGGGTTCATCAAAGCCGTGGATGACGGCACCATACGTAGTGAGCTGGCTGAAGATTGCATCTTAAACTTCTACAGCCGAAATGTGCGTGGCCCCAAGGCCATTACTGGTTTTTTGAGGACCCAGGTGACAAATCGTTATCAGCACGAGGGATTCGCGGAGGCAGCGCCACCTACAATTGGCACCGAAATTCTCCTGGCAGAGCGTTTCGGCAGATCCTTCGATCGGGAACGTCGCCGTATCTACGAGGCAAAGGAACAAGAGAAGTCCACCACATTGCATCTTCGACCCGAGAGCGATGACGAGGAAGTATCTGAAGAATTTCCCATATCGTACATCACGCCTCCTCGTGCTTCAAGCTACCCCATGAACACTCTAAAATTTGTAGAGTCCATTGGTCTGTTAAAATCTCTTGGAGGACCCCTCTTTGGCGGCATAGACTTGGGCGAATCCTGCATGGTTCACCTGACTTTGGGCTATCGGAGCACTAATCCGGCCGGTCGTCAAATGCCTGCCATCGAGATTTGCCTGGCTGTTTACGATCGGGGTCTCACAAGCCTCAACCGATCTACTTTAGTAGCTTCACAACCTACTTCCTTTCTACGACGCGGCGGTGACCGCTTTAATCCCACAACAGATGACGAGGGTGACGAGACTTCATTGCCACCACTATCAAGACGCGGAGTCCGCCGTACTTTGTTTACAGAGGAGAACGCTGAAGGCGAGGGAGCAGAAGATGCTGATCCCGTTCCCGTTTCTGATACCGATTCCGATGTCGATCGCGTGGTGGAGCAAGAGCAAACAACTCGACTGCCAGAGGGAACACATCAAGAGGAGGCCAACACACCCATAGAAAGTCCCAGGACTACGAAAATCTCCAATTCCATCGGCTATACACCAAGGAAACGTTTTCAAGCGACCAGTGGCAACGAAGTGCCACCCAAACGCACTCCGGCAGCCCAACGTATGCGCTTCTAGACCTGCAATCTATAATTGACAGATATTTAGACAGGTTTAGTCCCTAGTCGCTTTTCCAAATCTTCGTAGCACAATTATCTTTTAGGCTTTTAGAGGATACCCCTACAAATTTCCGTAATTATTTGAAGAAGACTGACTGCACCCGTTTTGGTCCAGCTATCAGGGACCCCGCGTTGCGCTAGGCTAATCCCAAATATGTATTGTATTACATAATAACCTGTATTTATTTGTGTATTAAAGTTCAATGTTAATTAAAGAAGATTGAATTCTTTTTTTCATTCCACTTTCATGTTTATGGTCCTAATGAATTTTATACATACATATATATTTCTGCTTAACAAATCGCAAATGAATTACTGAATCGCGAATTTAGACTTAAAATAAGAGACAAACTTATAAAATTAGCGGAGTCAATCAAATGCCCTTTGTTTGGAAATTGGATCTCTGAAACTTTTCTACACTTAAAACTAGAAGTGCTATATAGTAGTAGCGTTAGCTTATTAATAAGTTTATAATATCGATCATAATTTTTTGTATTTTCTTATTTCGTATTAACAGAATGTAAGAGGTACTTTAATGTTCTACCGTAAGTGCATCTGGCTTAAAATTTCGATTTTAAACGTTATAAATCCGAGAAATTTTTCTTCTAAGTGTACGGTTTCAGAACGAGAGCCAGAAAACTTGCATTTGCCCATCAGTCCAACTTAAAATTTGGAAGACAGCGGTTCAGTTGAAAAATACTTGGAAGTAATTAAAAGCGAGATGGATATGGCGTCTATGCAATTCGAGGCTATAAACTTATATCATCAAGCCTTGCATATTGAAAAACTTTTTGTACTTTTGCTTATACTTCAATCCGTCAATCTACTGATTCTATATCTAAACTATGATTAAACACGTCAAATCGGTGAAGGATCGGTGCTTATCTAAGGCTCGTGGAAGACAGAAACGCCCTGGTATTGCCAAAACGGAGGAACAATATCCCCAACAAGCTATTTCCATCGAAGGAGGAGTAAAATCTACGATGTCTTAATGTAATATTAATTTGTAATTTGCAAATAAATTTAAAATTTTTAACAGCAGTGAATAGAAATTTCTTAAAGGTCGAGGGAAGGTTTCACCTGGCAATTAGATCGGAATTCAGTTTTCTTTTCTTATACAGAAAAAATTGTTTTATGAATACACGAATATGCTGGAAATACTATTTAATAAATACATTTTTTAATGAATAAATGTTTTTTTAAAATATTTTTGGAGTTAGTAGCGCTATTCGGGTAAAATGTTCGTTACATGCCTTTGACGATCTACATTACTTTAGCCGAGCTTTAAACCTTTCAAGAGTGTGTCTTGGCTTGGCCGAAACTGTTCCCAGTAAATTGTTTAATTTGAAATGTATGGGAAAGTATAATAGCTATAAAATTCTGTTATAAAAACTGGCTACAATCTTAAGTAAATATCTAAGATTAAAAAACATTTAAAATAGTAAATATAAAATCTCAAAAAGTAGCATAAAACTATTTTTTAGCTTAGTTTTTGCATTTAATTTGCTCAGTGTTTTTAAATATTATTATTATTATTTTTTTTTTTAAATATTTCGCTATATATTTGCCTACTCATGTAATTAATCTAATAAATTTAGGAAAGAAAATCCTGGCAACTTGAGACGTAATAAATAAAAGGCCATTGAAATGTTAGCCATCGATGCCTTCATAAGTAATGCCTGGCACACTATATATGCTATACTATATAGCCGGCTAATACCATCAGAGATCAGACATCGAAGAACCTAATAAATCGTCGCTCCTGTTGTCGTCGCTCTCAAGTGGGTGGGTGGTTCTATTCGGCAGGTCTATTTCCGTACCGCCGGGGGGGAAAAAATTGGATGGAAAAATAGAAAGAAAATCCATTTTGATTAAAACGGTATGCCTGGGCGGGAAAAATCGTAAGCAGGGGGTGGTACACTGGGTGGTTCGCATTAAGACATCAAATAGACAACAAAGTGCCGGGGTCTGGGTTGTCTGTGTACATGTGTAGTCTCTGGACCCGGCCAAACCTCGACAGCAGTTGGAATCGTTAAGCCAGCCAAGTGGAAAGTGGAAAAGGCAGCCTCCTCCACCTGCATCGCCTGCTCTCTGGTGCTTGAAATTAGATTTCTGCCGTTGGCCAGCATTCGTTACGAGGTTTACTGCGGCACACGCTCTCCAGTTTGCCAGTTATACGAATCAGATACACTTTTGAAAAATATATCTTCACAACTATGTATAAAAAAGAAATCCTTAAAATAAATCCAAGAAGTTTTTAAGAGTCCTTTACAAGCTCTTTAAGTTCTTGTCTCTACACTTAACTTAAACAAAAACTGAAACTTTAAAATATCAAAATATAAATTCCACTTTTCAAAAACTTATTTTCACAGTGTAGTTTAGAAGAAGAGCTGAGTTAAGCCTGGCAAATCCTTGGGTTAGCTACAGCTGATTTATGTTTGGAGCCCTGCAACGTCACGAAGGTGGGGAGTCGATGTTTACGAGCGGATTAAGTTTGGCCTTTCAAACAAATTCCATTTAAATTTAATGAGCCCAGAGATTACATCACCGAAAGGGAGACGAAATGAAGGATGCCCAGCGTCAGTGGGATGCATTTTTAATTGAAATATGTCGCCACGATCCAGACACTATTTGACAATCCATCAGGTCGTCAATCGGATATATATATATATATCACAATCTCCGAATTCTATCTACTTAAGGCAAGCGTCTTCTAATTTATGCCGCCTTGTCCTCAATTAGTTGCAACTGCAGCAGCAACATCAGCGGCTGTTTGCCCCCGGGAATTCGTTAGCTAAGAAGAGTGAGGGAGGTGGGGGAAAGATATTTTATATGTAGCAACTTCTCCACTTACAGTTACACGACAAACCCAAAACTATCCGTCTAGCATTACACGATACTTAACCGCCGCTTATTTATGTCCCTGTCATCGCCTCTCAGCTGCTTCGCCGCCTTCTCCTCCAGAAGTTTCTCATCTTTGTGGAGCATTCCCCAATCCTCCCTCCATCCCTCTCCATCTTATATGAACATGCAAAATTCAAAAGCCTAGGGCATAGTTTTGGTTAATTGAAACCTGTTGTAAATCACAAATCATATTGACGTCTGATGTTCCTTCCCTCCCAAAAAGAAACAGATATAGAAACTGAAACTGCAGCAGATGTCGTCGGTTTTTCATAATTTTCCGTTGGGGAAAAAGCTTTTGGTGGGACGGGTGCTGGATGGGGATCTTGTAGAGCTATGAGAACTTATTCGAAGATAGATCTTTGCAAGTGCTAAAGTGGCATCTGCTAAGTTTTTAAAGAACTCAGATCGGGGCTCTCCAGAAAGTAAGTTCAGGTTCTTAACATTTCTAAAGTTCTTTGAGTAAGTAAAGGTTTCAAAAAAGATAACCCATATGACACAATCTCTGTATAAGACACAAAACCCAACAGATTGGAATTTCTACACTCTCAGAAACTGCCTAACCAAAAACCCATTTGTCCTAACCATTCAACCCCATCATAACCTCCTCCGTTAACCCATGAAAGTCTCGTTTGGTCGAGGAAAGCACTTCCAGTCCATAAACTTTGCCCTCAAACAGAATTTTAAGTTGATTTCGCTTGATTACTTCATTTTCGGGGAACAACAGCATTAGCGAAAGTAACAAACTAATGGTGAAAATATTGCAATTGCTTTTGCGACAAGTGCGCATTTCCCCCCCTATTTCTACCCCCCCCAACTTCTATACAGATATATGTGACACATCTTCCCGGCTGCTATTGTCCATTTCCGATTGTCGAGGGTGTCATTTGGTAATTGTTACAAGCTGCCGCATATTTGGACAAGCAACTCGCAGCACTCGAAAACAAACAAATGACTCGAGAGACTCAAGAGTGGATTCGAGTCAATGGGATTGGGATTTGGGTTTGGGTTTGCTATTGGGAACCACCCTCGTTTACTGGTTACTGGTTTCTACTGGTGGTGGCTCAACAACGCCCAGCCTCTTGTTTGTAAGCGGATACGGAGTGTAGTAGCTCAGGACTCAGGACTTAGGACCACGACCCCAGACCTCGGTAAATGTCATTAGTTTACAGTTGTCTGATTTCCATCCTCGAGCCTGGAGAATGTTGTGATCGATGATGACATCTCCATCCGACCATCTCCAACCCGAAGCCTTGTTGATAATGATGTTGATTCGGTTTTGTGGATCTATCCGAAAAGGGGATGTATATCAACATATGGCAAGATGATCCCAAAGAGATTACGTACAGCGAATCATTATCAACTGATTCTGAATCGATTCGGGATGTAGTTTTGGTTAGAATAAGGAAAAAGAGTTTAGGAATACAAAGAGAAGAAGATCTTCAATAGAAGGCATTTATGCGTAGTAGCTAAGGCTAAGATATGAAATTGTTTTTTACTACATTTGAATTTTCCAATTTTTCACTAAACTTAAGAATATTATTTTCCTCAAACTGTCTAAATGAATAGCTAATTGCATTGGATATAGTCTCTCCCCAAAAGGAATCCTCGATTCCGGCGGCCAATTCCCAGACAACTAATTAATGTCAGTCGTCTGGGAATGCCTAATTCTCAGCCAGAGTCGGAGTTTTCGTAACCCCACGGACCTGGAACTGGTTCAGCGCAGCGGCGTCGTAACTCAAAAAGCACTTAACCCATAAAAGTGAAATAATTCGGTGGAATAACAAACGCACTTAACAAATTACAGATGTGAAAATTTCATTTTCAGTTTCCAACCTCCGTCCTTCCTTCCTTCCTGCCTGCCTGCTTGCTCTTTCTGCGTTCCACAAGGGGGATGTTCATCCCCTTTCGATTCACCCACAGGCTGACGCCCTCTGCATTCCACAAATTAGAAAATGATTAATGGACTCAACCGGTTGCACAGCTCATTCCCTGGCTTTGCCCCGGCTATATTCCCCCCCCTCCGGCACCATCAGGATTTTATCCACTCCGTGGTGGCGCCGTCGTGGTCACATCCTTGCCAAAGGAGCATCCTTGCTACCAGTCAAAAAAACAGGAGGAACAGTGCGTCTGGCACACTTCAGCATAAAATAGCACTCGAGAGAATCAAATGGCTGGGGATGGGTGCACTTGGAGAAAAGCAATCGATAAAGAGAGAACAATTTACAGAAAAGAATGAAAGAAATGCCTTTGCAGTGCAAATAATTTTGTTAAAAATAAGAGAAATGTTATTTTTATACATTAATATTAAAAA